AAGGAACCACACTATAAACTACTTAATGCCATACTCTACAATGTGCATAGTTTAGCATATATTTATGCATATACATATAGTTTTAATACATTTTTCCATCTAGGATGACAACTCTCCCTCCAAGAGTCAATGGCCACCTAACAAAATCCCCATCACCAGACATGAGAAGCCCCCTTTTGAGTTGTTGCCTTAGGGCTGTCTCTGAGACTTCCCAAACATGCAGCCTATTGCTGTTGCCCTTGGTTGTTCTCCAAGGTGGAAGGTAAGTTCTGATTGCTGCAGACACTTCTGAGCTGGGACTGACCAGAATGCTCCCTTCCTGAAGACTGATTTTCATGCTCTTGTTTTATGTTGAGGGGGCAATGAGGTACCAGATATGGAAAGTGGAAGAGAGAAATGCTGTTTCTCTAATCTTATGGGTGCTTCTGGCAAAGTCTTTGAGACTGTAGAGGTCTGTGGACATGCTCAGAGGACTGTCCATGTGCATAGCATGCACACTGTGTTCGTTTGCTTGTACATCGTGCTGGAGATTGAACACAGTATCAACGCTCAAGACAAGGGCCCTACCAGTGCCTACAGGAACTTATTCTTACTTATGAATGCCTGGCCATAGCTTGGCTTGTTTCCATCTACCTTTTGCCTCTGGGCTTTTTCCTTTCTCTATTTTGTATACCTTCCTTTCCTTACTCCATGACTGGTTGTATGGGTGGTGACTGATCTTCCTTGTTGCTCCTTCCTTCTTCCCAGATTTCTCCTCATATTTTATTCTCTCTGCCTGCCAACCCTACCTATCCTTTCTCCTGCCTCTCTAATGGCTGTTCTGCTCTTTATTAGACCAATTAGGCATCTTAGGCAGGCAAAGTAACATGACTTCACAGAGTTAAACAAATGCAACATAAAGAATGGAGCATGCTGGGTGATGGTGATGCAAGCTTTTAATCCCAGCACTCAGGAGGCAGAGGCAGGTGGATCTTTGTGAGTTTAAGGCCAGTCTCATCTATTAAGAGTGAGCTCCAGGACAGGTTCCAAAGCTACAGAGAAACCCTGTCTCAAAAAAAAAAAAAAAAAAAAAATGGAACACATCTTTGCACCATTAAACAAATATTCCACAGTATAAATGAATGAAACACATCTTATACGGCTATTCCACAACAACAAACTAGTTTGTGTAAGCAGATTTGTGATGAGTAGCTCTGTCTTGCCTCTGTCATATTCTTACAATTATGAAGATTTGCAGATATGTTGACAGATGTCAGTGTGCTTACATTAATGCAAGTAATGAATTTCTCAAATTGCCCTTTAAAGATTTACATTTGTACTGCAGATATAACTATGTGGATTAGTTCATTGCTCTGTTATATTTAGAACTGGAAGCATAACTGGGCTATTATTTCCCAAAATAACTGGTTGCTGATAATTGTTACATGGTAAAATGCTTCCATGTTTTAGAATCCCCAAGTAAATTAGTTTACTATTTTCTTTACTATATGTGTTCACATTAAGCAATAATTTTGAAGGTAACTATGCTACTGGACAAATTAAGTAAGAAATCAAAAAAACTACTTAACTGGTGACATAGCTCAACAAGTGAGTGTGCTTGCTGTACTGTAAGCCCGAGCAACTGGATCAGATCCCCATAACTCATGGTGAAAGGAGAGAATATCTCCAACATTTCCCTAGGAGAGAATATCTCCAACATTTCCCTGGGACTGCCAAGTGACTGTTGTAACATTCGTGTGTCTTGAATGCTTAACACACACAGATTTTCTTCATCATCATCGTTATCCTACAAGTACTTGCAGTTCTGTGATCGGCCACTGGGTGGCAGGAGTACCATAGAAGCTTTGAGTAGAACCTGGGTGGAATTGAACATTGTGAGCACGTAGACCTTCATATAGTTCCCTGTTTCCACGTGATCAATGCCAGGAAAACCTGATACAGTGTGATATATAGAAACAAGGTACAACTGGAATAGTGAAATCTTAAAAATAAGCCTCTTTAAAAGCGAGCTGTAACGGTCCTGTTGGGTATTGTAAACACCTCAGGTGCACTCGATACAGCTGCTGTGGTGCTGGCATTCAGGTCTTTTTTTTTTTTTTTTCTTTATGGAAAGATGGATTGAACTTCAATTTAAGAATATCCAGTAATCCCTCTCAGGACATACTGTAACAGCTGGTATTTTTGTGTTGTAGTAAATCGGCTCCATACGACAGTCAGTAATAATTATGGCTGTGTTCTGATGAATTCCAAAGCATTTTCAATCAATTTGGCCAAAGAAAACAACATTATTACACAAAAATTTAACCCAATTTTAAAGTTAAATCCAGCAACACCATTTTATTCCACAAAACGCTGAGCGTTTTTCTAGTTAGGGTTCTTTAAAACTTTTTTAAAAAATGCATATATTTGCATAATTGTAGGATGATTATGTTGTATAATATATACTTAGAAGATTATTACTTTGTGATAAATGCACAGCATTGGACAAGTTTAACTGTGACTGTTTGTTACAGAAACCCAAGAAATGCTAAGTCCTTTCGTGTGTGGTAACATTGGATTAAAAAGATATTTTGAAGTGGGATATCAGGTTTTTGTCAATATTCCTGGAATGGGAATGTACCACATTCTATAAATTTTTTTTGTTTTGTTTTAGTTTTTTTTTCATTCTATAAAATTTTACTTTTTTGATAAAAGTATTAATTAGGTTATGTGACATATGCAGTTCATAAATGTGAAACACTGAATTCTTCAGGTTGCATTGTGTAGAAAGTATAGACTGTATTTCTGTGTGTGTGGTTACTGACAGCCTGTGCCATGCAAATTCTGACTTTTTGTGGCCTAAAGAGCAAACTCATATATGTACAGGCACATGGCAAGCACTGTATCTGCTTACATCATAAAACCCTGTTGCTAGAAATATGTATGCATACACTTTATACATTTTAAATAGTTCTCTCTCTCTCTCTCTCTCTCTATCTCTCTCTCTCTGTTAACAATGTATTCTTTTTATCAGTGGTTTTTCTGGAGTTCCTTTTGGACTTGAATAACTTCTTCTGTCCCCTTATATAAGGAATATTTTTATGTAGTTAAATCTTGATCCTGGTTATAATAATTTATGAGACCAAAGCAAAGTTTCCTTTTAAGAGTTTTGGAGAAAAGGCAGTATGGGAGCTGGGCATGAGTGAAGCCTGGCTTGCCTTCTCTTCTATTTTAAAATTTAGCTCAGTGAGTTACATTTTTACTTGGAATTTAAATACCTACTGCCGTATGGGTGTGTACCATGTGTGTTCTTTGTTTGCCTTTAGTGTAATGTAAAGCAGATGGTAAGACATCACAGCAGATAGTCAAGTCCAAGAAAATCTGTTTGATCGTGGACTTTTTGAAATATCAGTTTTCACTGTGACAAGTAAAATGCTAATTTGGAAGGCTTTACTGGAATTTAGCTTTGTATTTTTCTCAAGTAAAAGCTGGCAAGCTTGTTTGTCGTGACTCTGTAATATGAATCAGCAACTTAGAAGTTTTAGGAATCGAAGTGAATAGTTTCCAGTGTTTGCACCGTCTGCTTTCCTTGCTGTCTTTCAGATATGGTAAAATATACTTTGGAATGACTGAGTTTTCTATATGGAGAACTGGGGGGGAATGCACTAAATGTATTATGTAGCTATGATTTCAACAAAAGTGTAAATGATATGTGTTTTCCATTGTTAGTCTGCAGTGATCCAAATGTGAAACACATGGTGTTAGGTTGGATGGGTTATAATCTCGCTGCTTTCTTTTATGCTTTAATTTTATAATTCTATTATTACTTGAATTAAAGAAACAAAATATCACAAACCAGCTTTTACTGTTTGTTTACTCAGTGCAAGGCATTGTTGCTTGTCTTGGCATATTTAATTATTATGCAGTTTTAAGTTATTATCTTTATTTGCACATATGGAAATTAAGGTGTAATAAGATTAAATAAGTTACTGAAGACCATAGAGCCAGCAGGATTAGAGGTAAAGCCAGAGTTAACCTTCTACAGCTTTTTCACTATGTCCAGTTTCCTGCTTATTTTGAGATAAACTTATGCCAGTATCCAAAGCAATGTATTTTCCAGGATATATCCAGTCTAACTTTAACTAAAAGGTTTGGCTGGTATTGCTAGCCCTTCTGTGGATCTGTATCAATGCTCTCCTAGCTAAGTAAGTCTGTGAGTATCTGCTCGGCCTGCAGTAGAGAACTTTGCAGCTGTTGGACTATTAAATCCATGGAAACATAGAGTTGTAGTTGCTGGTAACTCAGATAGTCTTTGTTACACACTGGGAAATGTAGCTAGAATTAAGGTAAGAGAGAGGAACTGGTTGTACAGAGTCTTCTGAAAGGTCACAGTGCCATCAGCAGCCCCTGAAGCAAATGTCAGAATTTTTCGGAAGCTTTGACATTGCAGTGGCAGTATCTTTACAGTTCAAAATCACATGAAAATCAGAAACTACCCTGGTAAATATCAGCCTGTTATTGCAGAAAAAATCCATAGAAGAATTATGATCTCTCTGGTATTGTTGTAATGAGACCGTTTGTTGGTTCCCAGTTGCTAATCACACAGAAACTGCTTTTTTTAAATCACTGCTTGGCCCATTAGCTCTAGCTTCTTATTGGCTAACTCTTATATCTTAATTTAACCCATTTCTAGTTATCTGTGTATCGCCACAAGGTCATGACCTACCAGCAAAGTTTCAGCACATCCGTCTCTGGCAGAGGCTCCATGGCTTCTCTCTGACTCTGCCATTCTTTCTCCCAGCATTCAGTTTAGTTTTCCCTGCCTAACTAAGTTCTGCCCTGTTGTAGGTCCAAAGCAGTTTCATTATTCATTAATGATAATCACAGCACACAAAGGGGAATCCCACATCACTGGTATATTGTCCAATACAAGTTATGTGTAGAATTAGTTATGTGATGTTTGATTTAGTGATATTTGGGTTTTTATGTGTATAAATGTTTAATTTTTTTTTTCTTCCAAGGGGCTAGTGAGACAGTCGGTTCTTTCGTGAAGGACGGCTGCAGGTCATTGAATTTTCTGGAGCTTCCCAAGGCAAGAGAGTGGAGAGCAGCCACACACCTTTAGCCCGCAGCATGCCAGCACTGTCAACCGGATCTGCTGGAGAAATGGGTATGAGAACCCAAGGGGACAATTTTCCCTACATTCTTACTTATTAGTGTTGTTCCCACTGACTTGTGGGCACAAATAAATCATTTTTCTTTCTCTGTGACCTACATGAGAGGCATAAAATAAGTCCTAACAAGCTCTGGATTAGACAGAAATACTATGGGATATTCAGGGCACTTCCTTCACGAGGTGGTGGTGGTGACGCATGCCTATACCCTTGTTTTGCTTTTGGAACAACACCATGCATTTAATTGCTTAAAATGAAGTATTTGAGAATGCCCAGTGTTCTGGCAAATACTGGTGATTCCCACCTACACTGCCGTTCCTCACATTTAACAGCAGGCACAAAATGTTTGCCATACTTGCTTCGGACCTATTTTGTTTCTCTGCCTTTATTCTTTCTCTCTCTCTCTCTCTCTCTCTCTCTCTCTCTCTCTCTCTCTCTCTCTCTCTCTCTCTCTGGTTTTTACAAATTCTGTTTTTTTTAATTAAGATTGTTCATTTGATGTCCTTTGAATATTCATGTCTGAGTCCAAAAACTACAAATTGATTCAAAAGGAGCAGTGTCTGTTGCGTTTACTTCTGCAAGTGTAATTTTTCTACTAACTGCTGATGGAAATTACAGCTTTCCTGGGATCTTCAGGCAGCCTGCCTTATTCTTTTCCCCAGTGAAGCCATCCTGGAGTTAGCTGTCACTCTCACTGTATCTGTCATCTTGACTACAAACGTGATGCTCTTCTTTTGGTCCAGACCCTCAGATTTTAAAAGCAGCTTCAAGCTGAGGAAAGGTCATTTTCCCACAGTTCAGGTCTCTGAAGACCTTCCAATTGGAAAGTCACAGGAAAGCTCCCATTGGTCGATCTTTTTTATCATCACAAATCTGAAAATGCACAGTCCTGAAATGGGTGGCCTCTCTCTGCACATATAAAATTTTTTAAAATAAGAAGGGCAATATTAAGGGAGCTGAGGTCTAATCATCAAAAATCAACACAGCAAAAACAACCAATAGTGAATATTGAACGCTTAGAGTTCAGATTACCAGATTTTTCAGATTACCAGATTTTCTAAAGAGATGGAGTGCCAGTATTTAGTTTTCATTTTGAATACCATATTACAAAAGAACTATTTTTTTTTAATTTTAATTTATTGAGAATGGGAAAAAAAAGTTTCCGCCTCCTCCCAGCCTCCCATTTCCCTCCCCTTCCCCCCACTCTTCTCCCCCTCCCCCCACTCCTCTCCCCCTCCCTCTCCAATCCAAAGAGCAGTCATGGTTCCCTGCCCTGTGGAAAGTCCAAGGACCTCCCCTCTCCGTCCATGTCTAGGAAGGTGAACATTCAAACTGGCTAGGCTCCCACCAAGCCGGAACATGAAGTAGGATCAAAACCCCTTGCCATTGACCTTGGCTTCTCATCAGTCCTCATTGTTCGCCATGATCAGAGAGTCCGGTTTTATCCCATGCTCAAAAGAACTATTTTTAAAAATAAAAAAGGATTGAGGGAAAAGGGGGAAAAGAAAAGAATTATCTAAACCCTGGAATAACCTCCATTTGCTCCTGATAAGCTTCTGTACCATCTTCTTCCTCCTCCATTCCCAGTTCTTTTGGAGTATGATTATCAGCAATTCTCTGACAATCAAAGAGAATGGTGAGTGAATTTACTGTAGCTCCCTGTCTTTGACAGTGAGGTGTGTTGTCATTTTCATATTGAAATGTATCGCACTACTATCCTGTCCAATAACTTTGAGTTTAATGTATTCTCCTTTCTTCTTATCCCCTAATTTCTCAGTTGAAGGTTTTACCTCTTTTTCAGACATGGTGATGGTGGCTTCATCCAGGGTTCTCCGAGGTACCACAGGGGCCTCTGGTAGGCAGAACCTCACTTTGAGGTTTACAAACCTGTCTCTTCCCACAGCACAACACCACAGCTGCAGTGACTTCTGCTATGGCCTGCCAGTTTTTATTCTCTTACTCTATCACCAGAGATAAAACACATCTGGAAGTCCCTAGACATCAGTAAGAAGTTATATGAAAACTAAACAGCGGGCTGTTGCTATGACTCACTGGGTAAAGGCACTTGCTGCCAAGCCAGATGACCTGAGTTCACTCCCTGAGGTCCACATGATAGAAGGAGATCTACTTCTGAAAGTTTCCCTTTAACCTTCACACTCTGTCCATGCACACCTACTGCCTCCTCCCAGCCTCCCATTTCCCTCCCCAATTAAGTAAATGTTAAAAACAATGACATCTGACTACTCAATAAGTCCCATCAATTGCAAAATTTAGTGGCCTATAGAATATTATTTATATTTATAAATATTTCTTAGACATAAAACACATCACATATATAAAAACATCTCCTTTCTGGCCCAGTTTAGCAGTTAGCTTTCTTGCTATCAGCACTGCTCGAATATGGATTTCTGGGTGTGTTTTAGAACTGTTCAAAATAAGGGGGAGGGACTAGGGCTGAAATCACTAGAGTGTATGTTTTAATGTGCGTGAGCACTGGATTTAATCTTCAACACAAAAGAGACAAAAAAAGAATGATGCGGGTGGGAAATAGGTTGTGCAAACATTTACTTTGGGTTTGTTTTGATTTGTTTGAGACAGGGTTTTGCTTTGTGAATCCTAGAATAGCCTTTAAACTCACAGTCTTCCTGCCTCATCCTCACAAGGTCAATGAGCATTATGAATGACACCATGCCCAGGCTATGCCTTGAAGTTTTAAGACTCCTTTAAAGAAGAGGCAACATAACACAGCTGAAAACAGTGTCCCATATGTCACTGTGGTCATGGAGTCCTGATCTCAGGGACCACCTACTCTTGCCAGCTGAGGTAACCATTTCCACCCCACCCATTCCAGTCATGGGCACCACATTTACCCTGTCCAGTTGCTGTTCTGCCAGATGTCATTGTTGTCACTCTGCAAGTGCAGTCTGGCTTGTCTCTGTCCATCTGCAGCCATTTCCCCTCCTAGTGACTTAGACTGTGGATTATTTTTTGGTGGAAGATTTACTTTTGGTTAAATTCTGTTAAACTAGTTTTTTTTTTAATCCCTCAGGATGTTAATTTGCAAGTCAACTCCTTTAAATATTTTCTTTTTAGTTTTTATTTAGTTCTGTGTTTTGTTGAACTATGTAAAATGAATAATTGAACTTTTTGTGATGATAGGGTAATTATAGCTAAAATTTTTCTAGCCATCAATGTATTGCAGTTGTGCAGTATATTTTATGCTTCACTATTCACCAAGATTGTGTTACCTTAATTGATAGCAAAGTATTGCTAATGAGGTTTAGCTCACAGGCTGGTGAGAATAAGCGTTTATAACTGAGCGCTGTCATTCACAGAAAATAGCATAGACAGTATGGAATTTATAAAGAGCTTTTCCACACAGCTGTGCCACTTAGAGCACAAATGTACTGGCTGTGACACCTGCTTTCTCGTGCTTTTGAACCCGTGTGCCTGAAGATTTGAGTTAGGTGTAGAAGACATGACTGTTCCCAGGTCAGTGCACTCACAGATGCCACAATGGGTTGCGTGCATTGTATGTTTAATGTTCCTGAGTAGATCTCCTGTACTGGTGTAGTTGAAGTACTCATGTCATATTGTTTAGCAACATTGTTGATATTTTCTTGCCATTGAGTCTCCAAGAGAATAAAGTTAGAGTTTTACAAATGGCCATGGGCCCAATCACAGAAGAAAGGCATCTGACTTTAGTGTCTGTACTTGTTATAGTCACTTGGGAAAATGCCATGTGTATTTGTGGTTTCCAGATGTGTGTTTTGGTGTGTGCACTTACGCACATACGGAGGCCAGAGAAAGATGTAGGCTGCCTCGGTGTCCTGTTCCTTTGAGTAGGGTTTCTCACCAAACATGGGGCTATGCTGTGGGTGACCAGCAAGCGAGCCTTATTCATCCTCCTGTCTCCTTGCCACATTCATGCACTCACATGTATGCACTACACACACACACACACACACACACACATGAACCACATCTGGCTTTTTATGTGGGTGCTAGGAATTCAAACTCAGGTTTTTTTGCTTACACAGACAGCACTTTTACTCTCTGACCAATTTCCTCAGCCTCCACAAATGCTTTTTAATGAAACAATCTTAGCATTCATCTATCTTCCTCTTTCTGCTTATTTAATGAAGAAAAGAAAATGCATTTTGTAAGTACATCACGAAAAGATTCTCATCTTCTCAGTCTCACTTCTTTTCTCACCTTGGTAAGTATTCTTCATGAGCTGTGTGTGCACTCAGTGTTTCTCATAGTTCAGATGTATCTCAGTTGTAGAGCGCATGGTTAGCGTGTGTAAGGCCCAGGGTTTGATCAGTGGCACAAGAAAAACACATATTTGACTCTTATTAAAACAAACAGTCAAAACTCACAAATTTTATTACATGCCACAGATTGTATTATTCTGTTTCTTTCCTCTTGCAGTGCTTGGGACTAGAACCCTGTGCATACTAGGCAGGTACTCTGCCTCTGAGCTACATCCCCAGCCTGTTCTGTAACCATGTAGAGCAAATGCTGTTTGCAGGGAGTATATGAATGTATACAGTGTGTCATGCATGTTTATTCACATATCTGCCGACATACCCTGCATTGTCTGTAGACTCATGCTCTTTCATGTGACTTACAATGCTGTAAGGTGCATGCATGACGCAAAGTGCTGATTTTTGCTTCTGTTGTAAATATTTGGGCAGGAAAGATGCATACATATAATAATGTTATAAAATTAATTTGCAGACTTGTTAGGCCAGTTAGTCATGTATGGAGTGCATTAGAGATTCCAGCCATTCTTGCCAGTGTTCAGTGCTGTTAATCTTTGTAGTTGCTGCCATCTGATGGGGTACAAAGTGTTATAGGGGCTATTCCTTCTGTGAAACATATTTCCATTGTTTAATATACTTTCCTGTCTGGGACATGTCTATTCAAACCTGTTTTCAACCATTGTGCTGTCTTACATGGTTCTAATTGACTTGCAGAATTTCCTATCTTG